TTTTATGTTACCACAAATCATTGTGGAGTGCAAAATTGTGTAAGTCAGCAAAGTGTGTGACACATATACATATCATATATAACGTGTTATATGTATGTTACATGAAATATATATAAGTGTATATTATAAATATATATTATAAAGAAATAAATACAGCCTTACCTTTATTATCAACATAGAGAAAGATTAGTTATTTCACTACAAAAAGCTATAAAAGAAACAAAATGATTCTCCTCAGGAAATGTATGTATGAGCCCATACTAATATAAATTACTGAATAAACAAATAAAATGGAGAGAGTAGAGACAAATCTCCCTAGAAGCATTCCAAATAATTGACTTAGATACTCTGCTCTCAAGGAGGTGGCACATTATTCCCCACTCTTAAGTGTGGGCTGAACAGGGTGACTTCTTTATCCAGAGTACAGTGCAGAAAAGTGTTGAAAAAGAAGGATAATTTTAGAGTGGAGAAGCCTACTAAGTATCACCTTCCCAGGTGCTGAAGGTGAGCATCGACAGTGACATCGTGCTGGTTGTAGGAACCTCGTGGGTAATGAGAAGGCGCAAATGACACTTTGCCTCTGTGGTCTTCCACTCAGAAACTTGGGACACCAGTCTAACCTGAGAAACATCACGCTAGTTCGAATACAGGCTTATTCTACACATTTTTTTGACCAGTACTCATTGTCTTCGTTTTCTCTCGTTGCTGAGACAAAATACCCAACGCCCAAAATGAAGGAAGGAAAGGTTTATTTAGCTTACAGTTTGTGGAGGTCTCAGTCCATACTTGGCTGGCTCCAAGGCACAAGGTAGCAAAGCAACAAGAGCAAAGGGGGGAATGGCAGCCGAACAGCAAACAGCCAGAGCAAAAAGGAAAAATCGCAGCAAGCAGCCTCTTTCCCTCCCTTACACTGTAAACAGGCTACCCCCACCTAAGGGGAGTGTAGCTCTCACATAATCTCCATGCCCTCCTCTTCCAGAGTCTCAGGATGTATACAAAGTAAGCACCCTGGCTTCCTGCTGAGTCACTTAACCAAACCTCTAGACTCCCCAAGATGACACAACGTATCAACCATAACACTCATCAAACCTGTGAAGGTCATCAAACACAAGGAACATCTGAGGAATTTATTGTCAAGAGGAGCAAATGCAGGGTAACATCATGGATAAGATCCTGCAACAGAAAGACAGTAAGTGAAAACCAAGGAAATCTGACTATAGACTTTAGTTAGGAATATATCACTACTGGTTCATTCATTATGGTGAACCTAGACTGATGTAAGGTATTAATAATGAAAAACTGGATCATTGTTTCTGTAAATACAAAAACGTTCTTTAAAAGGTCTATTTTCACAGTTATACATTTTTATTATATGAACAAATGTTTGTATAAAAACAACATATGTATATGTATATTAAGAACAATAAAAGTGAATTAGAATGTCTGCATCTGTGCTGAGCTCTTGATCTCAGAATGGTGGTCTGGGCAGCCAAAGCTCCCTCCAAAGTGAGGAAAGAAGCAGGGGAAACTGTGGCCTCATTCCCGATGAGTTGTGTACACGGACTGAGATGCCCTGTTCTAAGTTCCATGCTCCTCCTATTCCAAATGTGCTTGAAAATTTCTGTTACCTTTCTTGGATAATACAAAATCAACCCTCGGAACCTATTCCCTTGATCAAATTGAATCTAACCTGGGCATTAGGAAGCCTAGAACCTGCTGCTGTGAGTTAGATGTCAAGGGATCTGCTACCTTGACAGGTTTTGGAAAGGAAAAATAAACGGCAGTCATGCACATTCTCAGGCATTGAGGGTCAGAATCATTTCGGAATGGTCCACTTTGCTGAGCAGTTCTTTTCACTTAATATATTCAGGGCAAACATTTTCTCTGGCCATTGGCTCAATAGAACCACATCCTGGTTGCTTCTAAGGTCCTCTAAAGCATTCAGGCACAAATATAGATCAAGGGACTGTGGAGTTAGATCGTAATCCATGCTTCCATAGCTTGTGGCCCGTGTAGTATCAGCCCAATACCGATGAACTGGTTTGAATTTTTGTGATGTCAGAGTTGGAGGAGGCACAGACCAGCAGCACCCTGTGGGACTCTGTCTTCCTTCCCTGGCCACAATCTTAAGACATCTCTGAGCTAAGTGCTGCGCTTTCACTTCCCTCTTGATTAGGAACCTAGGCTTAGGGATGCATGATTAACACCTGTGCATAGCTGCACATGGGCCCGGGCCTGTGGTCATGACATTTTCTTTGAGGAAAGGAGCTCTGTCTTCTTACAACAGGCTCCATCCTTCCCTAGATATGGAGTTATTGTCCAGGCACTGGTGTCTGTAAGGCAGAGCATCAGTGAAAAATTTGAAAATATTTGCTAAAACTGTATGTCTGCTGACTAGGACACACTGCTTATTACTGTGATTGGTTAGAAATTGACCTCCAAATACAGTTTCATAGCAAAACACATGTTTATTTCATAAGCATTGCCATATGGTGAAACGGTAGCTTGTCTATGAAGTGCCTCAACAGTTCTGGCTGACAGAGGTTGTACACTTGGTCCTGAGCATCTGGAAAACACACCCTGTTTGATCTACAAAGCAGTGGGAGAGGCAATGGATGATCTCCAGCAGGCTTCGCTTCTACCCATTGCTACTGGTCAGAACTAGCCACATAGCCCCAGCTAATTGCAAAGGGGGTGCAGAGTGCTCGAGACAAGAAGTAGACCTTAGATAAGATTTGTTGTGTCCAGTACAGAGGGCTTCTAGCATTTCCCCAGGTGGCTGAATTTAATATAAGTCTATATGTTAGGGTTCATATTTGAAACAGAACCTCATATTCATATCTCTTCAACTTCTCTCTTTGCTCTTGTTCCTCCCACGTCCTAGATTTTCCAATCTCCAGCTTCATCTTTGTGTTGGCTTTTCTGCAACCATCCTGTCAGTATTCCTCAGGTAGACCAGTTCACCCCAAGATCAAAGCCAGTGGTCCCATTCTGAGCTCAGACTGTGAGAGCAAGGACACATACCTGTTACCGTTCAGATGTAGGATGTCCCTCAAAAATCTCATGTGTCCAGAGTTGGGGCTTTTTGAAGGTGTTTGGATCATGGGGACAATATACTCAGATCTATTGGTGAGTACATAGCTAAATGTGCTGTTCAGAGGAAGGGCCACGTTGGAAGAAGTGTGTCATTGGAGGGGTCTCCCTCCCTCTTTGGTTCCTCCCTTCTGAACTAGATCTTAGCCAAAAGGCCGAGAAGCAATGGTTCCTCCTTCTCTCTCTGCTTCTTGGCTGCAACAAGGTGAGCAACATTCCTCTGCCATGTCCTTCCACCACACCATTTCTGCCTTTGAGCTGGCCAACTATAGTCTGCATCCCCTTAACCATGAGCCAAATTAGACTTTCCTTTAAGTTGTGGTTGTTAGGCAGTGTCCCAGCAATGGGAAATTGGACCAATACAATTCCCTAGAGAGCAGCACATGCCACAAAAGAACTTAGTGTTTCACACTGATCATCTTTTTATAGCATAATTCTGACATGTGATTTTGCCACAATACTTTCTTCCTCCTAGGAGCGAGGCTTAGAAGCTTGTAGGTAGGTATGGGAAAAAAGAACATCCTGCCACGTGTAAGCTAGAACAGTCCTCCCTGTAATAGTAATGCATTCATGCTCACTCAGTCCAATGTAGTTTCAGCAGGAGAGAAAGCTTAAAGACAAAGGAGGGCAAAGAGCCACAGGGAGATTCTTCTACAACTAGAATTATTATATTATCTTGCTTCTATGATATTATATTGAAGAACTGGAGCTCACTTACAGGTAGAAAGAGCCAGGAGAGAAGAAGGGACGAGAAACCAGGAGATAAACCAACGATCAAAGTCGTGAGTCCCCTGTCCTGGCTGTACAGGACCTGGCACCAAAGCCACCCCCTAGAACATGGTGGGGCAGTCCAGCTGCTGCCAGTGGGAGTGTGGTTCATCCGTGGGTAGGACTGATATTCCAGGAGTATGGCAAGAATACATCAGTTTTTGGTAGACTGTGAGCTGGAGAGCCGATAGCATCAGCCCAAAGAATTCAGGTGACATTTGGGCACATGGTGAGGCAGATGGAACTACCTGCAAGTAGGGTCTCAGTCCCTGGAACCAGATACTGGATTTTGTCTCTTCACAAAGAACAGACAAGAGAAAGGTGGGTGCCGAGCTTAGAGAAAAGGCCTTGAGGTCCATAAGCCATTGGAGCTCAGTGTGAGGTCGGGTCAGAGCATGCGCACAGGCTCTCCATGGGGCTTGATGTTACGCTTTCCCCTGATAGAGAGGCAGCTTTTCAGGCAGTGGAGCTGGGGCGAAAATTATCCCAGATGAGCAGTGGAGAGAGGACAGCTATGTTCAGTCGGCTCTGCAGGGGGCAGGCAGCGACATGCAACTTGAAGACTGAAGGACTAAAGTTTATCCCTTGCTAACCGAACTTGAACATGTTATCTAATTAGCCGGACGTGGTGGCGCACCTCTGTAATCCCAGCACTCTTGAGGCTGAGGCAGGAGGATCGTTTTGAGTTTGAGGCCAGCCTGGGCTACAAAGTGAATTCAAGACTAGCCTGAACTGCACAGCGAGACCCTGTCTCAAAAAGACAAAAAAACAGAACAAAACAAAACAAAATATCTAACCTCTCTGAGGCTGTTTCTTCTACAAAAGACATGAAGTAACCATATGCACTTCCTAGAGGATCATCGTGTGGAACAAGTGCATAAATTCATGAATAGCACTTTCTTCGTATTGTGGCACTTAACGTTTGAGTAATGGACAGTTTTCTGTGTGAACGCAGTGAAATCATAGAGGTGCCTTTTGATGACTTTAAAGGGCTATGAACCTGGAAGTTGATGTCAGTTGAACATTGTCCATTTCTCATCATGTCCTGGAAGTCTGTGAAATGCGTGAGAGCTCTGAAGGCTGGACAGTCTGTCAGGCTCCTCCCACTTTCACTGATTGGCACATGAGGACGCTGGGGCTGGAAAAGAGACTCACTCAGGAATAGGGGCAAAGTCGCGGGACCAGCACCAGGGAGCAACTGTGAAGGGGAAAGGCAGAATTTTCCTTACTATGGCTGCACCCGTCGAACTTTTGATGCTGGAGAACTTCATAGGTGGGAAATTTATACCCTGTAACTCATATATAGATTCCTACGATCCATCCACAGGGGAAGTGTATTGCAAGGTGCCGAATAGTGGGAAGGAAGAGGTGAGTGTATTCTCTTGGGGAAGACTAAAATGTATTCAATATGTTGGTAAACTTTGGATAATTTGACTTTCTAAAAGCAAAAGGGGTTTGAGGAAAGTAGAATTGTTTCATGCTAGTGGGAAGAAGATTCTAAGAAGGTTTATCTCATAAGGATATCACTGTATTCAGAAGCAAGTCATTTTCCTAGCCAAACTAACACACAGTTGTATGTGGAGGGCTTTTTTGGGTAAGTTTCAGACTCTAATAGGAGTATGGTATGAAGTATTATTTGTAAGAATTATCACAATCATTAAGTGGATCATTTTATTGACCAAGTGTCACCTAAATTTGCCACTAGATCCATGGATTTCTAAAAAATGTGCAGGTGATCCTTCTCTAATAACTCCTCATCTCTTCAAAATACCTAGTATATCAAAATCAATCATTTCAATGATGAAACTAAAAATCAAATTCTTGTATAATTTTTCACTTACATTTAACTTTTTTTCACTCAGAGTGCTTAAAGTCACATGCATTATGCTTTCTTTTTTTTTAGTCATGAAGAACTAATTTTAATTGGGGAATTTTATAAAATATCGGAGACATGTTTGATTAGTTATCAGTTATTAAGCTGAGAATGTAAACATGTATGGGGTGGTAAATGCCACTGACAGATGCATAGCCATCTAATGCTTACTGGGTTATAATTTATTCTTTTACGGCACAAAGAACTAGACTGTTTAAAACAATTCTGTAGCCTTCATGTAGCAACAGAGGTTATATGCAAAGTTATTTTCTTTTAAGAACTCAGTTGTTTTTCTCCACTTGTTAAAGTTTCAAGTCTGTTTTGCATTAAAAAACCTTTAGACTTGTGGATTAATGTCCACAAATATTGGCTAATTCACTGGTTAAACTGTAACGTGAGAAATCTAGCCTTGTCTCTTCCTCTCCCCTTGTCTCCCAGCGTTTTCCCAGGTGAAGTTAAAAAGGACAACTATGCCAAATTCAGGTGAAATACTTTCTTTTTCTTTCAGGTGGAATATTTTGTGCAGCTGATGTCTGATCTTTTTAGAGAATAGAATAAAGTAGAAAATAGCACTTATTCTTGCGGTAATAAAATAATTTTTACTTCTCAGAAATCCAATTCACAGTTATCCCATCTGATGCCATAGACCCCATATTTTTTAGATTGAAGAAAATGATAAGCAGAAAAACACATGCTAAATTCTCAGTCACTCGTGGAACATGCTTCTGGCACTGCTACCGGTCCCTTCCACTTATTTTGCTGCAGTTATGTGCCTCGCATTCACCAAGCTCTTTAACCGAGAGTGGGCAACCTAGAATTTAACCGAGAATTTCTAGCAACCTAGAAAGTAGAGGCTTGTCGTTCTTCTTTGGCAGAGCACACTGTGCTAATGCTTCTAACTCTGATGCTTAGGTCAGTGGGCACACCCATACATGTACACACATGCACGCACGCACGCACACATGCACGCACGCACGCACGCATGCACGCATGCACGCACGCAGGCATGCACTTTGCTACAGCCCTTTGGATGATAGCATCACTTCCATAGCATACTGGAGTTAGACTGCTTGGTCTCAAAGACCATCTCCACCAGCTGGGGTCTGTGGCCTTGATTTAGAGCTCAAGTTCTTCATGCCTCTCTCTGTCTCCCCAGTTATGAAATGGGAATATTAATGCTACCTACTTCCCAGGATTCTGAGGTTAAACGCACTAACACAGAGTATTTAGTGCTTAGTGTACAGTACACACTTTGTAAGTATCGGTGTGCGGTAATATGATTGCAAGGAGTAGACTGATATGTGTTCTGTGTTGTGCGCACAACACACGTGAAGCGAGACAACTTAGGGCGTCTGAGCGGACTTGCACAGCTAACGATCAGAGTCTTACATTCACTACTGCAGGAATTAAGCTTTGTGTGGTTTTTGTGGACTTCCCCACACTGCGACTTGAGGTGGAGAGCAAGGGCCACCTCTCCTCATCCCGTCTGCAGGTCCACGGTAGACATTCAGTCTTTGAGATAAAATTATCAGCTCTCAAATCTTTTTTTTTTTCCATGCCAGGGATGAACTAAGGGTCTTGCACATTTGGTCAAGTGCTCTGCCTCTGCGGCCCTTCATGGGGCCCTAACTTTAACCTCCCCCTTATGTCGGCACAGCTGAAAGTGAGTTTGTTCCTTTTGGAAACAAAGGTCAGGTGTAGATCGGGTTTCAGTGAGTGGGTGGCTTAGGGTCAGGAGCTGACGGTCAGGTCATGTGACGCAAGAAAGCTGCTCATGGCTGCCTGGAGCCCCTGGAATAGGATTTTGGGGCTGAGCTGGGGCCCAGAGGCAGAAGATAGCTGTATGTGATTATCAGTAGTCCTCATGCATGTGAGAGAAAGGACAGGAGAAGACATGGGCTATGGATTTGTCATCTCTGCAGAAGGGATAGCACAGACACTGCCTGAAAAAGGAGAAAGGCAGAAAAACACTCAAAGATTCATTTTGGTCATAAGTCGGTTCCACACATACATTGTCACATGTTTTCTTTTAGATGTAGCCCCAAAACTAGATCCCCAGGCTTTTGTTCAACCCCAGGTCCACCCTCCTCCAGCAGAGACCCCCTCCATTGGCAGGGGACAGGCCTGGTGATTATACCATAGTACGTTAGATTGTGGTCTTGGATGCCACAAAGAACTGGATATGAATCTTGATTCTGCCATTTAGTATCTGTGTAGACACTGGCAAGTTACCCGAACTTTCTGTTCCTCAGTTTCCTCACCTGTAAAATGGGCATAAAATACTTGAGGTACAGATTTTAAAAGGGGTTACATGAAATGCTTTGCATACTTAGTCATATTCTCTTAGCTATAAAATTTAGTTGATAATAGAATGAATCTAAGTAAGTGCACATCAAGAGATGTGATTCCACACAAAACTTTAGCCTTCATAAAATGTTGGAGCTGGCCTAGGAGTGTGAGAGATTCTGTACCTCTAGACCAAGCTTCTTCTCCACACAATATTCATTCTAGAGAGTTTGGTGGAAGTAGACGCTTTTTCTCTGTTTTTCTGGTATCTCTGGATTCACATAAACACTCAAGTCTCGAGTACTCAAGGTAGCTCAGAATTGAGAAGTGTTGAATAATTAATATTAGGCAAGAAAAAAAAGGGGACTTGTGGAGTTACTCTTCCTCGAGCCTCTCAGGAGCAGCAGCTTGGTGGTGATCTTCTCCTACTTTCCCCTGAAGATCGAAGCTGCCGTCCAGGCCGCCAGAGAGGCCTTTCCTGGCTGGTCATCCCGGAGCCCACAGGAGCGCGCGCAGGTGCTGAGCCGGGTGGCTGACTTGCTGGAGCAGTCCCTGGAGGAACTGGCGCAGGCAGAATCTAAAGACCAAGGTGTGAGCCACCTCTGACAGGACTTGTCTGTCTTCCATGCTTGTTGTAGCAGAGCTGAGGTTTGAGTGCAGGTGTCTCTTACTACAGGCCATGAATACAGACATGTGTGACGCAGGTACTGGTCACTGCCACCCTCCTTCCTGTTTGCCAGATGATCTCTCGCCTTCTAAGTGTAATGCGTGAGACTCAGGATACGGGTGCTTATTCCTATCTCTCCTAGGACACCAGGCCAGCCCTCAGGTGTGCTTCTCATAGCCATGGCAGGGGTGAAGGTACAAACACCAAGGCCTCACAAGGCTGAGGCTTGCAGCTGGCATGCTCCTGCCCCATTCAAAGTGCAATCATATGGCTGAACCCAAAGTCAAAGGGCTGGGACATACACATCATTTGATGGAAGCAGCAGCCAAGATGCACGGCTACGGGCTTGGGTCTGGGGAAGGAGTGCGCCAGGGCAGATCAGCAAGCTTCCACCTACACTGAGCAGCGGATCTCAAAGCCAAGCTAACTAGAAGAATAGTGACAGTCAAGTTATTTAGAAAGTTTTCTAATGTATCAGTCACTAGTTTACTTCCAACGCAGTCTCCCAGTAATTTCAGTCCTTCAAAGGGTGAGGGGGGTAAACGTGGGTAAATCTTTGCAGGATCTGTTAGGGAAAGCAAAGAGCTTTCAGAGCCTTACGCATGCGATGAACCAACCTAAAGCTAGGAGACAGCCTCAGGCTAAGCCCCTGGCAAGAAAGCGCTTCTGCCGCTGCTGTTTCTGGTTGCAGTCTCGCCCTATTTCTGCAGGGCACCGAGCAGCAAGCAGGTAAGCTCATGCTCATCCTTCCCTTCCTTCCGGGACCCAGGATGGGCCTGGGCATGCGGCAGAGGAGCAGGTGGCACACAGCGCCATGTGCCCAGTGCCCCTGCCAGCCTTCTGACGGCTCCACCACGTGTCAGGAGAGCACGTCATATGCCTCACGCGCTTCTACGTGGTGTGCAAGCACCACTGTGTCAACAACCGTCTCTTCAACCCTTTCACAGCTCTTACAAAGCCTGGTGGTTTTGAGTGGCAAGAGCTTGTGTGTGTGAAGTGGTAGCATCTGACACGCTCACAGTGAGAGCTAGAACGCGTTCATTCTGCAAAGCAAAGAGGATCTGAGTCAAGTTAGCCCCCTCTACCTCGTTTTATAACTCCGAACCTAAATATCTTATAGTTTTATCCAACCATGGTCAGCTCTGTGTGGTCAAAGGATGTCTCCCCACACTGGAAGAAACTGAGGCTAGACCAAAGTGAGCTAGGTAGGGATGGAGGTGGGGAGACAGCAGACAGACAGAGGGTTTCCACGGCTCCACCCGCACCGTACCGCAGGGCTTTGTGTTGTTTATTTCCTACAGGGAAAACCTTAACGATGGCGAGAACCGTCGACATCCCCCGGGCTGTACACAACTTCCGGTTCTTTGCTTCCTCCGTCCTGCACCACACGACAGAGTGCACGCAGATGGACCACCTGGGCTGCCTGCACTACACGGTGCGGACTCCCGTGGGGATCGGTAGGTGCTGGCCGCGGAGCGCCCACATCATGGCTATGCCTCGAGGCGCTAGAGAATTCTGTAGAATTGTCTCAAGGAACAGACGCAGGGAAGTCTGCTGGCCTCAAAAATCTGCTTCTAGTTTACTTTCTTTCTTGTTTAAATTCCTCAGTTATATCTGGAAACTTACCTTGGAAAATTACAGAGAAAAGAATGATGCCAAGAATAGATTCAGATCCCAGGACTTCAAAACGATTACTACCTATAACTAACAAAAAGAAAAAAAAAACCGGAAAAACCAGTGCTTTAGACTCTGGAATTGGTGAGGAATTCACAGCTTAACTTCTGTGTCTTCTGTGCCCATTCTGAAAAGTTGGGGTAATAATTTAATTTTACTTTTATGTATATTTTAATAATATATATAAATTTAATTAATTAATGAGTACAGGGCACTTAGTGCCAGGTATACGTTAAATAAGCCTAGAGTGAGAATTATCTACTTCTTCAATTCTTTGCCCCTTGACCTTTGAAGGAACACATAGATGACGGCTATGACCACATATATCCACTAGATGGCGCTGTTTCCCCGCAGAAGAATGCGTATTTCACGAGTTACATTATTATTATGATGAATGTAAAAGGAAAGAATACGAGACAATTTACTGTTTTGATTCTTTGAACTCTTCAGAAATAACATTTTCAAGGCATTATGGAAAGATTTAGCCTCCTCCTAAGAATTATGTGAGCATACTTGGCTACAAAAATATTCTTACCCAGAGGGAAATTTAATAATATAAAATATACATTTACTTTCTTAACACAAGTTTAAGGGCAGAGAGTAAAATAAGGAGAATCCACTTCCTTATTCATAATGTAGTTTTCATATTTGTGTGTGTTGTGGTTGGAAAACTGCACGTTCAGAGTATTGCATGGAGACACACTCTACATGTTAAGTATATTACTTATCTAACAAGTCTATCTGGTCAGGATGCAGGTGAGAATCCACAGAGAATTTTTATTTGAAAAACTTACATATAGCTAAGTTGTACGTCATGCCTTATTCCATAAAGTTCATTGACTTTACTGATACTAGGGCTCGCACCAGGACCAGGAGGAATTGCTTTGCTCTAGTGTCATAAAAAATTCTATAAAGCTTGAGATCTATGTCTTAATCCACAACACTTGAGAAGCAGAGGTGGAGAAACTTGTTAGAAGAAATGGCAGCTGCTCCACTTAGTAATGAGGAAGGAATATTTAAAAATATTAATTTGTACATCTCAAAATGGAACTGTTTAGTGATTCATTGGTGACACCCTTTTCACCTTGGAACTTATATTGCCATTATTTGTGCTTATAATCATGAACCATGAAGAAATGGTAACTTGTATTGAGCCAAGATCTAAATATGAAAATAGGAAACCTAAATTTACTGCAAGAGAAAATAGGTAAAAATCTTGAAGACATACGGGTAGGCAGAGACTTCAAGAACAAAACCCAGACTGCAAGGGAAATATTACAAACAATCAACAAGTGGGATCTCATCTTATTAAAAAGCTTTTGCATAGCAAAAGAAATCACCAACAGAGTGAAAAGGCAACCTACAGAGTGGGAAATAATTGTAGCCAGTTGTCCCTCAGACAAAGGACTTCTATCTAGAACATATAAAGAACTGAAAAATATCAGACCCGCCCCCCAAATACAAAGACCCAATCCAAAAATGAGCATCTGAGATGCATACATACTTCCCAGATGAAGACATACAAATGGTAAATAAATACATAAAAAAATGTTCAACATTATTGGTCATTTGAGAGATGCAAATTAAAGCAACCCTAAGATTCTATCTCACCCCAGAAAGAATGGCTATTATCAAAAAATCAATTGATAACAAATGCTGGATGGGGTTTTGAGAAAAAGGAACCTTTCTCCACTGTTGGTGGGAGTGTAGACTGGTGCAACCACTGTGGAAATCAGTGTGGAGATTCCTTTAAAAACTAGAATTAGAAGTCCCATTCCACCCAGCTATTCTCCTTTTGAATATCTTCCCAGAAGAATTAAAAACATCATACAATTGTGATATATGTGCACCCATATTTATAGCAGCACAATTTGTGGTAGCTAAATCTTGGAAGCAACTCAAAAGCCCATCAGCCAAGAAATGCATAAAAAAGATGTGTTTTTTATATAATGGAGCCATAAAGAAGGATAAACTAGAAACTTGTATAGGCAAATGGATGCAACTCGATACCATACTTATAAGTGAAATAAATCAGACCCATCTGTGTAAACATTGTACTGTCTCATTAGTGTGAGAAACTGAATGAGTAAATAGGATCCAAAATGTACAATGGATATTAGGAAACGGGAAGAAACTGTTCAAAAGAAAAGACAAACTGTGATGGGGGAAAAGGGAAAGGAAAGATGGGAAAAGGAAAAACATATGCATACACAAGGTAGTTACGATAGTTATACAGCTAGTTTCTCTTAGTTCATTGGAAAGAAAGGCTTGTACTAATATTGTTTGGACAGGATATCATGCCTATGACTTGTACTCTGAATAACTACTATGAAGACAGTAGCAAGGTATTCATTATTGTAGCTCTCCAACAACCTGTTTTGAAACTGTTTTATTTTTATTTTTTTCCTTTTTAAAAGAATAAAAAATTGTATTGATCTTACTGTTTTAGAAAGTATCATCACATATTTTAGGAAGATGTCCTCAAGGTCAGCAACAACTAAGCCAAGTTTGGGACTTCAAGGGCAATTAGATTTCTTGCAGGAGTTCTGCTTTAGTAACCCTGTCTGACCTCTGAGGAGCCTGTCACCATGGCAGTGCCTCTGTTCTGATCCTTTAGCTGGGCTGATCAGCCCTTGGAACCTGCCCCTCTACTTGCTGACCTGGAAGATAGCTCCAGCCATCGCTGCCGGGAATACTGTGATAGCCAAGCCCAGCGAGCTGACTTCAGTGACCGCGTGGATGTTGTGCAAGCTCCTGGATAAAGCAGGTAATTAGGTGCTTGGGGTGGAGGAGGTGTAGAGTTGGAGCAAAGTTATATAGAAATCTTCTACTTAGCAGCAAAATCAATTCCAGTGAGATCTTTGGATTTTGTCTCCTTGAGCTTTCCTGAAAAATCCACTTCATCTTCACACGGGATTGTCTCATAGTGCTGCTTCTATTCAAAGCAGAATGGTACTGCCGCAGAGTGGCTGCAGTGTGTGGTGCATGGCAATATTACAGGCTTGTATAAGCCAGCTTTCCATTATTGTAACAAATACCCCAGATGACAAAGTTATTGTGAGGAAAGGTTTGTTTTGTAAATTAATATTAAATTGACTAGATTAAGAAGTCACTGGTGAAATGAGTGGATCATAGCGAGTGGGGGCTATACTTACTCCATCAGTGTTCCTAGGCAGATCAGGGCCCAGTCAGTGCGGTACGAGGCAGGGCCCAGGCAGAGGTGAGTCACTGGGGGCTGCCTGTGCAAGGTCTCTCTCTCTCCCTGGCAATTTTCCACAGCATTCTGCTACCAGGCTGCCATGAATTGAGCAGCTTTGCTTCACCACACTCTTCTGCCATCAGCCAACTGACCATGGACTAAACCTCTGAACCCCAAAGCCACAGTGAGCCTCCCCTCCCTTAAGTTGAGGGTATCATGTATTTGTCCCAGCAACAGGAAAGCTGACTGACACATTTTTGCTGACAGATTTGGAGGCATCAGCCCATGGCAGCTAATTTAAATCTTAGGTTTGAGCCACAGGTTAATTATAATGAAAATCAGATATAGCTAGGTGCCCCTGTGGTTTGTAGAGCCGTCCAATCTTTGGTAGACATAGCCATTTTCAGGGGATTTGAATATACATATCCCAGTCCTCTGCACATGAGACCACTCCTCAGAAGCAGGGGGTTGGCTTCTTACCAGCATATCACATTTGCCCCTTGTCCTCTTTCTACCAGAAGTTTACTAATTCAAGGCTACGAGTTTAGTAATTGGGGTTTGGTTGGTGACTTGTACAAGCACAGCCTGAGTCTGCACTAGTGTTTGGAGATTACAGGCAGGAAGCCTGTGATAACAGCCTGAGCTGTGGGTCCCTCAGCTCACCTCCCCAGAAAACCTCGGAGTGGGGGCAGTGTCTGGGTGGTGGGGACAGTCTTACTATCTGTCTGGACGTGTCAGCGGCTGCTGTCCTTACTGCCTTTCAGCACACAAAGAAGGTTCTTCTGCATTCTCCTATAGCCACAAAATGGGCAGTGGGCAGGAGCCCATCTCTGTTTATTTTCTGGATATCTTGCTATCAAAGCAAAACCACACACGCTAGGGAAGTTTAGCCAGGTCTTTAGGCTTTAGGGGATAGGTTACAACTGAGCCTGTTTAGGAAAAGGCATTGGCCTCATGACCCTAGTTTCCCACAGAGCAATGAGGCCTCCTAGCCCAGGTGTTTGGGATGATGTCCATGACGCCTTAGGCCTCTGGGCAAGTATATGATTAAACGTGCCGTGTTCGGAATGTGTCAGCCCTCCCTTACAAGAGGTACCATGTTCTAATCCCTTTCTTTGAAAAATTGAGTGTCGGGTGTGTGCGTATACAAGACTTTCCTTCCTGGCTTGGTCACTGCAGGTTTCCAGATGAGGACAGGATTGGAGCCGGGCTAGTCAGCTCTCCATGAGTCAGGTAACGAACACCTGAGAGCAACCAACCTAAAAAGAGGAAACATTTATTATTGCTCAGTTTTGCTTAGCTGGCTCCATTGCTTCTGGCCCAGTGGCGAGGCAGCACGTGAGGGCAGAGAACATGGCACAGGAGGCTGCTTGCCTCGGAAACAGAAAGCAGAGACAGAGCAGAGGAGCGTTCATTTCAGAACCTGGTCTGCGTGAGAGCATTCCATTTCCATCATTTGCATAGCACTGACCTCATTTCCTGTGAGCTTGTAGGCCCGTTTTACCAAAGCAACCCTTTTCTTCCGTCCCCCCCAGGCTGGCTTTGCCAAACGTTCCCCTCCTGACAAACAGTGTAAGCATAATTCTGATCAAACTGAACCCCTCTGAAGCTCTTGGTTTCTCCACCAGGACTGGGATGGGAGGGGTGGGGATGTGTATGAAATCCTACTTTACAACAGGAACTTTCAAGAGGGTCAGAGGGAAAAGTGAAAATGGGCTGCTAATGCATTTTGCATGTTTAAAAAGCCATGTCCTCTACCTCTAGTTCTGAAGTACATGTACCCTGATTGATGACCTTCCTTGGAACTTTGTTTTTTTTTGAGACTGGATCTCACTATGCAGTTCAAGCTGGCCTTGAGCTCACTTTGTAGCTCAAGGCTGACCTTGGACTCGCAACGATCCTCTTGCCTCAGCCTCCCGAGCACTGGGATTACAGGCACATACCACCATGCCCAGCTTATCCTTTGAACTACAATCATGTAAGAAGTACTCAGCAAATATCTCTTCAGGAACCCTAGAATATTTTATTTTCTTCTTGGGGATGCTAAACTTTTGCCATCACTCTTAGGCCATCAGCTGCGGTTTTTGGCCTTTTCCATTCATTTTATTTTACTGCTCTGTTTCAATTTAAAATCCGTTCTGCTTCCCCGCAAGCAGCTCTAGCATTTGAGGGTCTTTGTTAGTTTTTGTGCCTGGGGTTCCTAACATGTCTGTTAGCCACCTGAATTTTGCTGAATTTCTGTTTGCCAATTAAACTGCTTCCCTTCTCATATAATCAGAACTTTTAAGGGTTAGAGAACAGATAGCTGCACAAAAACTTCATTAATGCATGGATCAAATGGCAGAAGGGTTACTGCGAAATCAGGAACAGCACACACCTCGGAACATATTAACATCAGACCCCAAGGAAACGTAATCAGAATGTTAATACTGCATGTAGAATGCAACCGGCCTGCTGGAAAGAGCTCATTTTCCTGTGGTACTTCTGCATTTTTTTTCTCATCCTCTGTTAAAATGCTGCCGTAAGCATTAGAAGTGGCTCAACCCAGTTTTGCCTTCAGAATTTGTAAAGGGTCTCCCACCCGCAAGCCCTCATCCGCACCCATGCTTGTCTGCTATTTGGTGGAGAAGCCACATCCCACCCAAGAAATGGGGAAGCTCATTTTGTTTCCTTCCTATCAGGGGCTCTCCTTCTAGACTCTTTCTTGCCCCCACGCGGGACCAGGGGCTTCCACATGGTGCAGGCGCGCTCTGGTCACTAAGATCCAGGGCTGACCTAAGCTAGGCTTAAAAAATGCTCATGCAGAGTCAGGAGCTGGGACTGTTAGAAGCGCGTCTCTGCCAGACACAGTCACGGCCCTGAATCTTCCCACCTGTCTCCCTAGGGCTGGGGCCTCCACGGACCGCTCAAGGTGATCGGGCTCAGGCCACGGCCCTCTGCGAGGGCATCCTGGGTGATGGGGGGTCACCAATGTGAATTCGTTATTTATACTTTAAGGGCGGATTCTTGAGGTGCTTTGAATCCAAGAGAGTGTTTCTAATGAGGGGAGAATGTCCAACCTGGGCAAGGGAAGAAGATCAGGAGGCTTTCCAAAGCTTTCCCACCTCCCCTCCCTCCTTCTTCTCTCTTTTTTTTTTCTTTTATCTTTCACAATCACGAACAAGTAAGTTTATATCTTACAGACATCCATTGATTCTGGGGAGGCTGACTCATTGATACAAAGAGGTAGGCTGTCAGACACCTCGGTTACCTGACCACAGCAATAGCAATATCTGTCCTCAGAAACCCGATGCTGAACAGACCGGTTCTGTTTCGGTCAAAGTTTATGATAGTAGAGTGCATAAGTCTTTTACTCTGAGGATTTCGGTCACCCGAGCAAATGGAATACGTCTAGCTACCTCCAGACAAACCTTCCTAAGAACGTCCGAGGTGCAACGTGATTGCACAAGTGAGTTTTCTGAACACTTGAAGCTTCTGAGATTCACTTACTCTTTCTAATTTGGATGCTGGAACGAAGTATCTATTTACCCCTCCATTTACTTAACAATTATTTGTTTTCCTACTCTGACCAGGTTTTCTGCTTATCGGTTGTAATTCAACCTTACTTTGCCTCAAGTTTCTCACTAATAAAGTGGGGATAAAACCAAGTACTTTTTCAAATTCTTGTGAGGCTTCAAAATGGTGCAATAGTCCCCCTTCATCAGTCAGGGGGGTGTATTCCAGGACTCTTTGTGGATACTCAAAACTGCAGATAGCGTTGGGCCTTCTCTATATTATGGCTTCCCCTATACATATATATCCATAAAAAATTTAATTTATGAATGAGGTACAGTGAGAGATTAACAATAATAACTACTAATAGAACTGAACAGTTAGAACAATATACTGTAATAAACATTATGCAATTGTGGTTTTTCTTTCCTAAAATAATCAAGGTAAATATTAACATTTTCAGACTATGAGTGAGTTCAGGTAAATGAAATAGCAGAATGTGGCTCTGTGGATAAGGCAGAGGACGGTTAATCAGTTATCACTCTAGCAGCTCCACTAAGCACCCAGTAAATATAACCATGTACTGGTTAGTTCTTATGTGACAAGCTAAGGCAGGAAACAGGTTCTGTTTGTGTTCTTAGCTAGGTTAATTTCTAGTGGTGAGCAGCTATGAAGAAGTCAATCCAGAAAACATGTCAATACCTACACAGAGATTTAGGACAATAGGGTTTGGTGATAGACAGGACTGGGACACATATCTTGGGGTGTTCTTGGTCCTTATAAGTTGGTTTTAGAATGCAATGGTGTTGTCTGCAATTATGAGGTCCAGAACCTCCAGCTCAGAACTCACCTTCCCTGGGGAGCCTTCCCCTGCTCCCCTGGGCCAAAGGACCAATTTGCATCCCTGCAGATACACACACACCCCTACTTAACATTTCCATCCTGCACCACAGTTCCTAGCTGCAAGTTGGAGGAGGGCGCTGCTTTTCCACTGGGCTTGAGCTGCTTGGAGAATCTCTCGAATTCTCAGTCCCTGAAGCTTAGTCAGTGTTGTAAAGTTAATTAGGTAGAATGTGCCCTCCCGTGACTCTTTCAGGGCAAAGCACCTAGAGAAGTCCTACCTAGTGGGTTCAATAGGCAGAGGTGACTCTCATCCTTGCTTTGCTATTAAACTGGAGGTCTCTGTAAAAGCTCCATCTGTTTAAAAACCCATCAAGTATTCCTTCCATGAGAGCTACTGGACTTGCAAAGGAAGTCTCCACATGACCTGAAGTATCCTGTTTCCCAACCAGGTGTTCCACCGGGTGTCATCAATATTGTATTTGGAACAGGACCCAGGGCAGGTGAAGCCTTGGTGTCCCACCCAGAGGTGCCCTTGATCTCCTTCACTGGGAGCCAGCCGACCGCTGAACGGATCACACACGTGAGTGCTCCCCACTGCAAGAAGCTCTCCCTAGAGCTGGGGGGCAAGAATCCTGCCATCATCTTTGAGGATGCTAACCTGGAGGAGTGTGTTCCAACAACCGTCAGGTCCAGCTTTGCCAACCAGGTATGTCCTCTGCGTGCTCTGATCTCCAGGGGCCCACCAACATGCATCTCTTTTCTCAAAGTTCAAAGCACAGCAGTGAGCAGGTCAATCCAGATATGTTTGTCAAGGAGGATCAATAGATTTTATTATTCCAGCATCAATCAGTGGCCTTGTGGAGTCACAATTTCTGTTCTTGAATCTCCTTTTCTTGAGTCACATACCTTTTGTCAGGTCCTGCCATGGGCACAATGATTCATTTTTCTGCACTAAGCTTCTCCCTTTCTTTTTTATTTGTTTGAGTCTTTTGAGACAGTGCCTCGCTATGCAGTTCAGCCTGGCCTTGATCTCACAGTGATCCTCTTCCTCAGTCCCCTGAGTGCTGAGATTACAGGCGCATGCCCCCATACTTGGCTTACATTTCCTAATTCATACAGTCTTCCTGTCTCCTATTGCTGCCCAAGTGTCCCATTCCAGGTGGACTTACTCTTCCTCCAAAACCATCCCAAACACACTCACACAGAATTACCATGGTCTCTGACTTTCGAGAGTGGGTTTCTCAGCCAGGAGTCATGTGGGTTCTGGTAATTTTGTCAGATTCTTCAAGGTCATGTTGTCCAAAAGTGTTAAGAACACCAGACCAGTTTAGCTAGACAACAGCTTCCTGAAGGGAGTGCAGTGCCTACCTTTGTGCAGTAATTTTAGCATCAGGGTCTAGAATAGTGCTAGGGTCTAACAGGCATGTGTATATACTGAAGGGTTTGCTCCAAAGGATATTTTTATTTCAGTAGAGAACAAAGGCTTATACGAAAGAGCTAGAATTTCCGTAGGAGCAAGGAGGAGTGGAATGAGGTAGATCAGTATTTTCCTAGCCCAGGTACCACTGGATATCATGTAACCTTCTGCATCTATATTCTTCACTTGGTGCATTGTAACCCTTTCACTCATTTGATCAATCATAACCTTTCCAACAGGATTTTGTGGCTATCATGAAAAATGCTACTTTCAGTTTTTTAATGATAATTATAATAGTGATTTTTAATATCATCATTATTAGTAGTGATTCCTCTTACTGTAACTTCTAAAAAAGTTGGCTAGAAATGTAGAGGGGTTTTGGACCAACAGACAATGCCATCTCATGATATATCTGGTTTGATTATTGAAATAAGCAACTATGAAGTGAATGACTAAACCAAGTATTTTGACAGCTTCAAGACAAGATTGGGACTGAGAATTAGGATTAAGATGAGAGGAGGATGTGAGAGGAGCTCTGCGGTAAAGTAAACGAATGCTGAGCAGGGCAGGCTGTTTTCCCAGAATGGGGCAGAAAGTGGTGTTTGTGCAGAGAACCTTTGGGGAAACTCAAATTCAGTGGGAAAAGGGACATGGCAACCCAAACAACAAATGGATTTTAGGTAAAATAAATAACACAGCTTGACTGCTTTACCTAGCTGAGTGATGAGTTCCACGGAGGGCACAGGTCACACTTCTTTCTTAATTGCATGTAACTGACTGTTGGAAAGCATCTCCGCTCACCCGGGAGCCATGTATTATCTCAAAACTTCCTCTCATCTGTAAACTGAGACTATAACCCACTACAGAGGTATTGTGGAGAAAGCGCCCTACACAGTGCCTGTAATATAGCAGAGACTCAGAGACTGACACTGTCTTTTCTCATCCTCCAGAATCACTGTCCAGGGGTTCTCTGTGCTGCCTGTGCTTTCCTGGCACTGAGTAGTGGGAAACTTGGTAGAGGCCTCAGGTCTCTTTCTCATGCCCTTTTACTCCATAGAGCACAAGGTATTTGTGCCAATGGACCTGTCAGGTGCTTGGCTGTTTTCCACGCCAGATATGCAGATGGTTCTGACAGTAATCCTGGTGGCAGAAAGAATTATTATTTCAGAACACTAACTGTTCAATTTGAACAATGAACCTTTGTGCAAATACCAAGATAATTAGAAACATTCTGTTTCCTTGGGCTGTTGTGAAGACCAAATATAAAGGTGATGAAAGTAGTTATTTATGCATTTATGTACTTGTCATACATACATTAAGCCTCGAAATATCTAGGATGTGGTTTTGCAAACCATTATGTGCTATAATGAAATAGCACTTAGGACTGTTTCTCACTCTGAATTATGCAGGACCTCACTCCTGAACATTCAGCATCTCTGCTTGGATGTTTGTTGGGCATCTGAACTTAACACATCCCTAGCAGAACTCCCAGTTTCTCTCTGTCTCCCCTCCCTGCTATCTGGATTCTTTCTCCACCTCATTATCATTGGCTGTGTAGTATAGGCCCTGAACCTAGGACTTTTCCTCAGTCTTGCCTTCTCTTTACCTCATATCCATCAACAGATCCTGTAGGTAAGATTTATCCTGAAACCTATTATTTTTCCAGTACATCTGTGCCAATCTCCCACGCCTTTGGAGTCCCATCCCCTGTGAGAACCTTGAACTCAGCAGATCTCCATCACTTCTGTCCATCTCCATTGGTGCCTCCCTGGTGCAAACTACTGCCTCTTATCTGCACTTTTAGAATATTCTCTTAACTCTCCACTCTGTTCCCACTCTCATTTCTTCCCCCATTCTATTTTCCACACAGCTGCTGAAATGGTCATTTAAAACTGTAAATCTGATGATCTCACTCTGTTGTTTAGAACTTTCCATTACCTCTCCATGATGCTGAGGATAAAACGTGAGCCCCTATGAGCCTGTAAGAGTACATGATGTTGCCGTGCTGGCCTCCTGACCTCAAGTCCTACCACATACATCCTGTTCCTGCCTCTGCTCCCATCCTTAGCCCCACTCACCTGCCCCCCCTCCCAACTCCTGGTACCAAATTTTCTGTCTTGTTTATTTTTCTGTCATTGCTGAGACAAAATACCCAATGCCCAAAATTAAGGAAAGAAAGATTTATTTAGCTCACTGTTTGTGAAGGTTTCAATTCATAATCAGCTGGCTCCACGGCAGAATGGCACATGGCAGAGGGCAACAGCTCATGGCTATGGAAGACAGCAAAAGCAGCAAGAACAAAAAGGGAGGAAAGCAAGTCTCTTTCCCTCCCTTGTATTGTATGCAAGCTACTACCCCAGGTTAGGGTAGCACTCACACCCATAATCCCAGCATCAGGCCATGGATTAATCATAAACTCTAGAAGCCCACCCCATGACTGCCTGAGACTTTGAGGGGACAGCCTGACACAAACCACATCCCTCCCTCTTCCTGCAGCCGTCTTCATGTACTGCTGAGAATTTCCTCTTCTAGATCTTTGCCCACCCAGCTGTTCCTATCGAGTCCATTGAAATGTCCCCTCTTTGCAAGTGCCTCAATGTCTCCCTTTAGTAAAGTAACTGTCCCCAAGCCCATCAGTTTGTATTCCTTAGGCTTGCCTGATTTTCTTTTATTTCTTTGATGACTACCCAAAGTTACATTTCCAGTGTTACTTGTGTGTTTTTCAGTCTTTCTACAGGATTGGATGTCCCACATGGTGGGGACTTGGTCTCCTTTATCCCAGGTTCCCATTGTCTAGACCAGTAGACCAGTGCCTGATATGTGGCAATACTCAGTGGAATCTGTCCATGAAGGAGAATGTCCTCCAGTCTTGTCACTGTCCTCATTCTTGATAGGGTGAAATCTGCCTCTGTACCAGCAGGATCTTTGTGCAGAAGAGCATCTACAGTGAATTTTTAAAAAGATTTGTAGAAGCTACCAGAACGTGGAAAGTCGGGGTCCCTTCTGACCCATCAGCCTGCATGGGTGCCCTGATAAGTAAAGCACATTTAGAGAAAGTAAGTAAATCTCTGCTGTGAAAGTTACAGACAGTTCTTATTCAAGGAGAAGGTCGGCACAAGCGGAGCACATATCAGGCCTTGACATAGTGTAATTGATTTTCAAAACTGTGAACTGTGGGAAATTGCTCCTGGATGGAGTCTACACGTCTTAGGTATGACTATGCAGATGGGGCTCCGGTTAACACAGCATCCACCTGCGGTGAATAACTGGGAATAAGTCAGTTTGCAATGTCACCTGTAGAGTAGCGAAATTTCAAAACATGGAGGTCATAACAAGATCAGTGTAGATCAAGAGCAGTAGGAAATTCCTTTAGATATTTGTTTGGTTTTCTCCTCCCTCTTCTTTTTCTTCTTCTTTTTTTTTGTACCAGGATTTGAACTCAGGAGCTTGCACTTGCCAGGCAGGTGCTTATGCCACTGAGCTAAATACCCAGCTCCTTCCTCCCTTTTCTTAAATCAAATGCCACCTTCAAAATGAGGGCTTTCTAGCCCTTTCTATTGAAAACTGCACACTCTAGGACTCCCTCTACTTCTTCTTTTTTTTTTTTTATATATATGAGGAATCAAACTCAGGACCTTGTGCTTGCCAGACAGGTGCTTATACCACTGAGCTATATCCCTGGCCCTTCCCCTATCGCTTTAATGTCTTTTCTCCATCATCTTAACAACATCTTACATAAAACAATATTGCTTACTGTAACCCCCACCGACAGCTTCCCTGGACTAGAATGTAAGCTCCATGGTCAAGTTTACTTCCCACAGTGTCCTTAGATCTGAGAAAAGCACCTGGACTATGGTGGGTGATTAATATTAGTTGGGAGAGTGATTGAGTCTACACTATGCTGTGTAATCCAGTTATGCTATTTGTCCTAAACTTATTGTACCCATTTTCCTTGAATTCTTTTTGGTCCTTGGCTTAAATTACCTGGAATTGGGTCTAAAGTGCATAGGTAAGTCCTGGCCATCTCTCCTGCTAGCATGACTCAGCATTCAGCTTCTGAAAGGAAAAATAAACACAGAAACAACATTCAGTTGCTTCAAGAAAAGTCATCCATCATTATCTCTGAGTCACTGGGTTATTACACAGTCACAGGTAGCGCTCTCTCTCTCTCTCTCTCTCTCTCTCTCTCTCTCCATATATATGATATATAATATAATATAATATTACCTCCAGGTATATTTTCTGAGTAATATGAGTAATGGTGCTAGAAATTAGAAATTCTTTGTTCTAGAAGCTCAGTCTTTAACTAAATCTTGTACGTCATTACCTAGAACTTTCCACAATGGACACAATTCTTCATCTTCACCCCAAAGAGAATATCTTTTTGTATATTTAACTACAGAATAGAGCATGAACTTAGCTTTACTCTTCATTAACTATATGAACTCTAAATACTTTCTGTCTCTCAGTTATTTCCTCAGCAAATAGGGAATAGCAAGAGATAAAAATAGCTGATAGAGTTTTGGGGGAATTGAGAACATATGAAAAACACCTGGATGCCTAGTACCTAGACATTAAATAAATTACTTCCCTCTCCTATGCACCAGGGCTGAACGCCTAAATGATGCTTGCAACACCTCTGAACAGCCAAGTAGTTAGATAACCATGGATTTCTGGGAGGCTGAGGCAGGAGGATTATAAATTCAACCCCAGCCTGGACAATTTAGCAAACTTATGAGACTCTATTTCAAAATAAAAAGTGAAAAAGGGCTGGAGATTTATCTTAGGTAAGGGCTTGGGTTCAATCCCCAGGACTCCCCCCAACAAAAAAAAGAAAAAAGATAACCTGCTTTGGCTGAATAGAGAGTATTGACTTTCTTTTTTTATGCTGATTTTTATGAAGCCAAAGGATAAAAGGCCACTAATTATGATTTTTACCTGCCCAGGTCAGAAGTTACATCAAGAGAGCTCATGCTGAAGGGGCCCATATTCTGTGTGGAGAGGGAGTAGATAAGTTGAGCCTTCCCCTCAGGAATCAGGAAGGCTACTTCATGCTTCCCACAGTGATAACGGACATTAAGGATGAGTCCTGCTGCATGCAGGAAGAGATATTTGGCCCTGTGACGTGTGTTGTCTCCTTCGATACTGAAGAGGAAGTGATTAGAAGGGCCAACAGCGTTAAGTATGGGCTGGCAGCTACGGTGTGGTCAAGCAATGTGGGCCGTGTCCACCGGGTGGCCAAGAAGCTGCAGTCAGGTTTGGTCTGGACCAACTGCTGGCTCATCAGGGAGCTGAACCTGCCTTTTGGAGGCATGAAGAGCTCAGGGATAGGAAGAGAAGGTGCCAAGGACTCTCATGACTTCTTCACAGAAATCAAGACCATCACCGTCAAACACTAACCATTGTCCATGGAGAACCTACTCCAGCCAACGCCCAGCAGCAGAGAATCAGCTGTCCAATGTGGCAAATGGAAATACCACCTTACAGGCCAGCCCTGTCTGCACCCTGCAGGAAGTCATCTCGCGTTTATCCTCAGTAGGTGGTGTTTCTCACCAGCTAGTGAAGAGATGTGGTCTATTTTCTGTGTTGTCTCAGAGCAGAAAAGACCTCTGAATAGAATGGTACAACAAAGAAGCCAAACCATCACCAGTCTCCTCCCATGTTATATCTTCAGAGTATTTTCTCCATCATCTTGACTGCATTCTTGGGAATCCCTTATAACCCGATATAGTCATTTGCAAATACAGAGTTAAAAAAATCTACAAAACTGAGTAGAAGCAATTTGCCATTCAATTTCTTCCTTTGAAGAGGATGTTGAGATGAACGTCTGCTCCAGTAGCTGCTAGTATGGTTAATTGATAATTAGTTGTATGTACCTCATTATGCAGAGGGATAATGATTGTCTATGGAATTTGTTAAAGGGGACTTATGTTATTGATCATGCTAAATATATAAAAAATAAAGCAACGACTATACTTTCGGATGGAAGAAATTTGGAACACAAAGTGAAAATAGTTTCATTCACTTGTACCATTAATTTTAATCAATTCTAATTCTTATTGTAAGTATCTAATAGACTTACCATTTACTAATCCTAAAGGAAGTAATAAATGTTAAGTAATTTTAGTAACAAGTATGGCATATATGTTCTTCATTTGTCTATTATTTCTCCTTATCCTTGTCCTCTTATAAGTATGGACTTTTTACCAGTAAAGGTGTAACTAATGCTTTTTTCTGGCTTGCCAAATGATCTGAGGTTTATGAAGGTTAAGTAGCATATTCAGAGTCATACAAATGGTATGGAGAAGAGACGGGATTTGAGCATCAGACCCTAATACTCACGATCTCTGACAACCTCACATCGGTCTTGGGCTGTGCTACAGAAGCAACAAAGCACTTACGATTTAGGGCACACATGGTGCTCCATTCCTCCTCCAAGTCTCCTGCTTTTCTTCTCCCCATGTTACTCCTCTCTGAAAATCTCAACTCAGTGCAGTGTCTGGCACACAGAAGAGTGGAATGAGGTCTGCCTGGAGCTCTGAGTGTGTGGTAGTGGGAAGAATAAATGTTATAATTTTGCTTAGGATTTCAGATGTTGGCTGTTCACAAATGTTGAGAATTGTCAGCCAGCCTCTTTAATGTCAAGTGATGGTGTTAGATTACAACGGTCCCAGCTTTCAACTCACCTGTCTCCTTTGTTATTACTGTGCTCTAATGCACCCCAGCAGCCAGTCATTGTCACCTTTGCCTATTATGTCTTGGCCTTGTACTCCAATCTTTCCTAGTGTGTTCCAGTCCACCGAAGTGGGTGAGGTCAGATTCCAAACTTTACTCTTCCCCGGCCACCTCATACTTCCCTAGGTCCTCACAGCAGCGGGTTGGGGGGGCATCCTTCTGCTCTACTTAAATGTGACAGAAATCTGCTGGAACAGTTCATCTGTGGTTATGGGGTTGCCAAGCTGCATCCAGAAATGATGACAGAACAATCAGAGGGAGTGTTCCCCAGGGACATGATTATATTTGAAAGCTTTTGTTTCTAAGAGAGGTATTTATTATTTCCCATGTCAGAGATATTTGCATACCAAGAAAGGAAAGTAGGTCATCCTGATGGACATTGAGGAGTACCTGGGGCAGAATCTCTTCCCCAGAAGACCCAATCTTGGAGGCATCAAAGATAAAGAACATGCACTGCAGGGAAAAGGATGAAAATTGTTGACAAGCTGTGCTTCTTAGACTTGATGTGCTGGGTCACAAGGGGGGCGCTTCAGTAGGTTTGAGGTTAGGCCTGACTTGCACTTGGAGTGTTGAGGAATTAGGAGACACTGAAATTTCTGGCTCAGGTACCTCTTTCTCACCTCTCAGGTCTCAGGAGCAGCTGGCTATAACATTTGCTCTCTGCTAGTGACAAAGGAAGGACTTGACTAGGACATCTTCCTGGGTAAGACTAACGTGGTTGGTGCAAACAAAGCCTGAGATAGCTCTGGAACTTCTATGCAACTCAGGGGAGGAGGAAGGGAAAGGCTGCTTCACTGAGGGGTAAAATATAGTGATCCCCTGGATCCATGGGGATTGATTCCAAGGCATCTGTCACTCTCCCACCTGCAGATTCCAGAGTCAAAGGATGCTCAAGTCCCTTTTATAAAATGATATAGCATTTGTACATACATGCACACATCCAGTAGACTAAATATGATTAAAATCTACTTATAATACTTACTATTGCAGTGTAAATGCTCCATAGATAGTTGCTGTATTATATTGCTCAGGTCTATATTCAGAATTATTTTCCATCTAGAGTTGGTTGGATTCAGGGATGTGGAACCCATGGAGACAGAGGGACAACTCTGCACATAGAATCTCATCTTCTGTTGTAGAGTTCTCCTTACTTGGGTAGTTAATGAGGATACAAGCTAAACCATCCATGCAGCCTAAAGAGAAACTTGTCCCTGAGCTCCTCACACAGAAACTGTGGAGTTAGTACCATGATGACTCACAGGGAAACTGTTCTTCCAAGCAGCAAAACAGTCACTTTGCCAACTACCTATACTAATGAACTAGTACACTCTTTACTAAGAGTGATTATCAATAAACCAAGATCTATCAAATATCTGTAAAGGAGAAATACCAACATGTGTGAAAGAATAACCGACTGAAAACAATCAGCAGAAGAAAGGGATTTCATCCCAGTGACTTGGGAGGCTGACGCAGGAGGACTGCATGTTTGAGGACAGAAAAAGTCATTGCAAGATTGTGTCTTAAAACAAGAAAAGGGGCTGGGGACATTGTTTCTTGATAGAGCAGTTGCCTAACATGTGTGCAGCCCTGTGTTCGGTACTGAAAAAAAAAAGAGACAGAGAGAGAGGGAGAGAGAGAGGGAGGGAGAGAGAGAGACATTAGGATTGAATTATCTCAGAGGGAGTTGAAAGAATAGTGTACTCATAAATAAGAAGAGGCTACTACGAAAATGGAAGAAGCAGAGAACGTGAAAGAGGTCCTGAGAAATTAAACACTGATTTCTCAGGTAAATTTTAAAAAATTAATAGAATCAAATCATTCATATAGCTGAAAACCAAATTAGTGATCTGGGAGATGAACTTAAGACGGAAGATCAGAACGTAGTGACAGGAAAGGAAACCAGATCTCAGATGGTGAGATGGAGGACAGATCTAGAAAGTTATTAACATATCACTAATAAGACATGGGAAAACAGAAAAAAACAGGAGAATAAAAAAGAATACGGGAGCGCCGCTGCGTTTCAATGGCTGAGAGTGGGGCCCGGCCCGGGAGTCGGGGGGCATTCTTGGCTGCCAGGCACTGCTCCTCGGCTCCTGAGCTGGGCTGAGGTGGCACCGTATGATGAGGTGCCGGTAGTTAAAGAGATTATGGCATCTGAAAACCACAATGTTAAAAAATGGAACTTTAGTAATAATATTGAGGATCATTCCACTGATCTTCCTAGAAAAAGGATATCTAATCTCACTAATAACAACATGAAGGAGGTTAAGAAATCTCCAAAACAGTTGGCTGCTTACATAAATAGAACAGATGGACAAGCTGTGAAAAGCCCAGACTTACTACATAAGGTGATCTATCGCAGAAAGAAAGTTCATCATCCGTTTCCAAATTCCTGTTACAGAAAAAAACAGTGCCCTAGAAGTGGAGGCTGTGACATAGCAAATAAAGAAAATGAGCTGGCTTGTGCAGGCCGCTTGCCTGAACAATTTCCCCATGACAGTCGGCCGTACATGGCCAACTCCAGACAGAAAGCCCGTCATCAAAATACAGTGGGTTTTTCTGAGGTTTCTCAGGACCGTGAAACAGTGGTGCAAGTTTTGTTCAGCAGGAGTTTGAGATTGAATGTAGCTTTAACTTTCTGGAGAAAGAGAAGTATAAGTGAACTTGTAGCTTATTTGGCAAGAATAGAAGACCTTGGTGTTGTGGTAGATTGCTTTCCTGTGCTCACCAATAGTTTACAGGAAGAAAAACAGTATATCTCACTTGGCTGCTGTGTAGATTTATTGCCTCTAGTAAAGTCATTACTTAAAAGCAAATTTGAAGAATATGTAATAGTTGGTTTAAACTGGCTTTCAGCAGTAATAAAAAGGTAGTGGTCATCCACTGTCATCCAAAACAGAAATTATAAATGATATAAATATTCAGATTTTAAAACAACAATTAAGTAAATTGTGGGAGAAAACCATCTTACTTTGGTTCCAGGCTATACTGGTAATATAGCTAAGGATGTAGATGCTTATTTATTGCAGTTGCTTTGAGAGATTCATCTACTAAAGAACATTTGGTTATTTAAAAGCAATGCTGGACCATATGATTTCCAACTTTGAACTGTGGGAGAAATCAAAACATTCTTTTCTTTTAAAAGTCCACATAATGAAACCACTAATGAAATTCTAACAATCTACTTCACATCGAAGTGGAAAAATATCCAAAAGGAGCAGCTTCAACTTTAATGAGGTGAAAGTGTATTATGAAGATTGTTTGCCTTTGCTGCATTTCGGGCTTATGGTTATTTAGTAACATTGTTTAAGAACTACTGGGTCTTAATGTAGTCCTGTATTAGAATATAAGTTATACTATGTGAAAAAAGAAGACAAGACTTATTACTAGGAATCACAGAGACCAATCATGGATGTTTTGGGGTGTTTTATATAAAAAAATACCTAAATGTGTGCAGCTATTTTCCTATGTTGAAAAGACTTTCAAAGTTTAAAACATCATAGTAAATAATCAATATTAAAATTTTGTACACACTAAGATATTGTGTTTACAAAATGCCTTAATTATTAATAAGCCAATGTGTTATGATACCAATATTTTCTTGCTTTTAAAAAATTAGAACCAACAATGCTTCTGGCATGATAAAATCATGGAATTAAATCAGGGGTTTACATTCGTAAATGTTTTTGTGAAATGTTTTTGTTAAATGAATATTTTTGTTAAAACATATTCCACACTGTTTTTGATATGTGAGAATATTGTTAATAGCTCTGATTTTTTCTGCCAGAATTTTCATGTCATGTATGTATGTGTTACTGCTGTGTAAAGAAAAAGGTGAATATGTATTTGTATGAATGTTTAACTGGAAATGTCCATGGAGCTGCTTATTTATATTCATTTTTTTAAATTTTAGAAATAAAAGGAGGAAAATACTAACAGACAGACAACATTTTACAAAATAGCAAAGGATCAGTACAGACAGTACAGAGTTACAAACAGAGTGGTAGGGAATTAACAATGCTTGTTGTATTACATATTGATATGTTCAATGTAGTTTCTCATGAAAACAGATATAGACATACAAAACT